ATACATGTAAGTCTGCCCCAAAGCTGTTTAGGGTTTATAAAGGGTTTAGGGTTTAGGGTTTTGGGTTTAGGGTTCAGGGTTGAGGGTTGAGAAGCCCACAGCGCACGAGCCGAAGGTGGGCAGTGGCCTTTTGCACTGCGCCTCTTGACAGACTGGGGCGCCGATGTCCAAAGCTGCAGCACCTCGCTGTCTCAGGGGCCGAGGTTTCTGCTAGGAGCAATTCAGGTTTAGGGTTTGGATTTGATTAGGGTTTAGGGCTTAGTGGTGTTTTGAAACCTAAACCCTAAAGCCCTAAAGCCCTAAAGCCCTAAAACCCTAAACCCTAAACCCTAAACCCTAAACCCTAAAACTAAAGCCCTAAACCCTAAACCTGGGCCCGAAAAGCCCATAAGCCAGGGGCCCTGCCCTTCAAGAGCGTGTCTTGGAGCTCCGACCGTGACCCGGGGCTCGGGTTCCACGGTTTCGTGTTGGTGTTGCTGCTGTTTGTTGTTTGGCGTGTGTGTGTGTACGTAGGACGTAGGTGTTGGATTTCGGGCTTTTGGATTTTTGGGCCTTCATGTTTGCCTATACTATTTTGGGGTTCCTTTTCATAAGTATAGTATAATGGGCCCCAAAACTGTATTCTGGCTATTCGGGCCCCTACATTATTGTGTCTCTTTTTTTGTGTTGTTGGGTTTCGGATTTTCGGTTTCAGGGCGTCGCAGTGAGCATGGAGCGAGGTGCAGCGATTGCCGCTTGTGCCAGCGCTTCCGCATGGGACGCTGCACTTCGACTGGTTCCTCGGCTGCCATCGGCTGCCCCTCCTGAGTTTAGGGTTTAGGGTTTACAGAGGCTCCACATATAGTACCATTATGGAACTAGGTCCCAAAAGACCATCCTTGTTAAGGCTTTAAGGACCTAATTCCACAATGGTCCTATATATGGAGCCTCTGGGCTGCCTCGGCTTTCGGTTTAGAGTTTAGGTCTCACCTGTCAGTTCTTGAAGCCAAGCCTCTTTCGCTGAACCGTGGTTGTGTTTAATATAGGGGCCTTAGTTAGAATAGGGTTTCGGTGCCCATTATACTTCATTATAACAAGGAGCCCCCATAAAATACTATGGGCATTTATTTAGGCCCGTACATTATAGCCTGAAGATTTAGGATAGGCTGCGGGATTTAAGACTGGGCCGTAGGATTACGAGACTTAGGTTTCTTGTTTGACTCCCTTTGTTCCACGTCTGTGGGGAAATGTGATGGGTTGAAGGTTTATGGCTGCAAGACTAGGGTCTAGAGCCTCGGCACAAGATTCTGAGACCTGCATTCTTGGGATATTGCATTCAAGAGTTCATTTTCGAAAGTGTGTTTGCCCACAACAGGTTTGGGTTTAGGGTCTGACTGGGAAAGACTTCTGGAGCTCTCCTACACGCAGCGGTTTAGGGTTTGGTTGTTTGGGGGTTTAGGGTTTAGGGGGTTTACGGTCTAGGGTTCCGGTTCGGGTTTGGGGGTAGCATCCCGTGGAACCGATGTACGGGTGACTGAGACCCCTAACCCAACTCAGGTCTTATGGATTATATGTGTAGTTGGAGTTGTAAGTAGTTGACAGAAAGCCTTGTTTGTACGCTTCAGCTCGAAGGTAGTAGAGATTATCGACAGGGAGTTTCGGATGTGGGGCGTAGCAAAAAGAGAGAGAGAGAGAGAGAGAGAGAGAGAGAGAGAGCGAGAGAGAGAGAGAGAGATTCGAGCTTGCTGCTGAGATCTTGATGTTCAGCCAACAGTTGGTTTGTCATGGCAATGCGCAACCGGTCTTCAATGCCCCTGTACTTCTTGGACCACAAACCTCATGTCAATCATCCCGGCCTCTGTATTCGACATCGATTTGCGTGCAGTACGTCGTGTGCCTGATTCGGAAATCTTGTGTTATCTGAACCTTTCTAATCCCTAGGCCCTAAACTCTAAACCCTCCGTGGGCATCCGGGCTTTGCTGCAGTTTGCGGGCATGCCGGCCATGAGCATCCTGGCAAACGCTGCCCCCGATTGGCAACAAGAGGATGGGTGAGAAACCATTGGAGGTATATCGCGGTTTAGGGTTTGGGGTTTAGCGTGTATATTGGATGTATAAGCCGGTGGATGTATAATGGGGCTTATGATGAGTATGATGTTCAAATCCCGACTCACGACTTTTGCCATCAGTCGCGGTGTGTTTTCTTGGTTAGCTTCCTTCCCACTCTTACCTTCCTTCCTATAAGGGTCCTGATGTATGGAATTACCATGGAGGGCCTGGACACACACACACACACACCGAACCCTCAAATGTCCCTTGTTTGCTCTAGGTAAAGCCAAACCCGATGCTACCCAAAAGCTGGTATCTTGTAAATGTTGGCAACTCTACCGGTAGCTCGAACTACCTCCTGCCAGTTACCTACTACACTATACCATCCTATACAAAGGGTTCTGGGCCGTTTATAGCCTCGGTGAAGAAGTGGGGTTTAGGGGTCAAAAGTTCAGGGTGCAGGGGGGTTGTGTTTGATTGGCCTTGCAATTTCACTGAGGCCGCTTGTTGTCTTGTTTCTATCGTATCTCGTCGGCGTTTCCTAGACTAGATTATGTGCTGCATTGGCCGTGAAGGCATAGATTTCAGGAAGGGATATGGTTTCAAGCGTGTCTTGAGCTGCGCAAAACATGCCAGTCAGGGCCGGCGTAGCACGGAGAAAAAATTCACGGAGTTTCGGCACTTGGAGATTTGATGGCAGGTAAGTGCAGGCCCAAGCGAGGCAAGTTATGTTGTAATTGTAGCCGGCCACATGCCCAACAAGGAGACTTGCGTGTATCCAAAGAATGTCAATGAAGCGGTCTATAAAATCGATGGAAAGCAAAGGCCAAACCCCAAACCCCGAAATGCGCACCCTAAACCCTACATCCTAAACCTAAACTCCAACCAGCACCCCCCAAGTACCCCGTAACAGAGCCCTTGGGTATTTAGGGTATAATAGAGGGTATTGGGGGGTGCTGGAAAAAACGCAAAACCCTAAACCCTAAACCCTAAACCCAACCGGCACAAAGGTCACTTTCAGCACGGCACTGTCTGCCTGTGGAGCTGCGGCGGCCTGGCAACGGGCGTTGCAGCCTCTCTGCGGCTTTAGGGTTTAAGATTTAGGGCAAGACTAGTATTACGGGAGCTTGAACGGTTAGATTAAGGTTTCCGTGCAATTTTACAAGTTCTTGTGGGTAGTATAAGTTTTTAGTTTCTCGGTATTGATAAGACTTAAACCTTATGGTTCAGTTCTTACGTATGGGGTATGGATATCTGTTATGAGGCCGTTTAAATTTCAGCATCATTTCGTTCTTTCGTTACGGCATCCCCCTCGCAGTGCCAACAAGATTCGGTTCGTACTACCAAGCAATCCTCGGAGTAGCTGAATGAGTACACTTTGCACTTGTGATGGTTTAGGGTTCAGGGTTTAGGGGTTTAGGATTTAGGGTTGAGGGGTTTAGGGTTGGGATAAGATGATCCCCACTGAAAGTTTGCAATTGGTTTTGCTTAAAAGAACTCAGCAACTAAGAACCCTAAGAGTAGCAAGTACACCCTTCCAGCGGGTCGTAGGGGGGGGGTCAAGGTTTGTGTACTCAGGCAGCCTATGGGTCTGCATGTACCCTAAACCCTAAACCCTAAAACCTAAACCCTAAACCCTAAACCCGAATCATGAGTGACACTGCCGCCTTATGGTCCATCTGTGGTAAGCCCAAGCCACTAGGTATTCGAATTATCAGACCTCCTATATTATCTCCTTGCCAGAAGCATAAGACCCTTAAGGGAAGCCTTAACGGCACCCTTAAAAGGCCCCTCTCTTCCTAGCTCTCAATCGGCCGAACCCGCGATGTAGAGTTTGACTGGTAGGGTGTGAGATCACAGGGCTGTCAGTTTGAAGTTGACAATAGGGGTTTAGGGTTTAGATTTTACCTGGACCCTAGAAAACCTACCTTTTTAGGGATCCTTACTATGATTTCTATATATAAGTCCTTAAAAAGGTAGGTTATTTGGGGTTAAGGTAGGCTTTAGATTTTAGGGTTTGGGTTGATTTCGGGGTTTGGGTCCCAAATGCCCCAAATCAATCCTGAAACCCTTTCTCATCCGTTTAGTAAGGGAGCCCTTTCGGGGGTGTCGGGGCCATAGGGGGCACAGGAATTTCAAGGGGTAGTATGTCTCCTGAAGAACCCGCAGTCTGTATACCAGAATCGTGTTTCTACTAGGCCTTTCAGTACCCTTTTGCGCCTGGGTTCCGTATCAAAAACCTCAGTCTCACTGCGGAAGTTTTGTTTTTCTGATGTGGCTGTGGAGATGCGGCAAGCTGACTGGCATTTCGGGGTTTAGGTTTTAGGAGTTGGGGGTTTGGGGTTTAGGGGTTCAGGGTTTCGGGTAGCCCTAAACCCTAAACCCTAAGTCGATCCTAGGCTACTCGCTGGCATGGCAGAGACAAGAGTCCAACTGGATGTCGTCGCTCGGCTGGAGGTTTGCGGATCTGTACATGTAATATATCGTGAAGGGTTTAGGGCTTAGGGTAACAATAATTACCTGTCATTTTGGGGGTTCCTTATAATAAATGTAGTATAATGGGCCCTAATTATGAAGCCCCTTATAGTAATAGTATCCATTATAGTTTCTGTTTTGGGATAAACCCACAACTTATGGAAAATGGGTGAGGGCTGAGGATGAAAGGAACCATTTGCGGCTCAGCCCGCGTAGTATGTCCATGGTGAGGTTTTTAAAAGTATAACGTAGGGGCCTTAATAATTAGAATAGGGTTTGGGGGGGTTCCTTATTATAAGTATTATAGTATAACATACCCCTAAACCCCCTTCTAATTAGTAAGGCCCTTATATCAGCATGGTCTGCTTCAAGCCCTAAACCCCAACAGACCCTAGACCCTAACAAACCCTAAACCCTAACAAACCCTAACAAGCCCTAAACCCCAACAGACCCTAAGCCCTAACCCCTAACAAGCCCTAAACCCCAACAGACCCTAAACCCTAAGGGCTCAGAGCTCAACGCTGTGAGACCTTCGAGCCTTCGAGCTCGAAGTCTCCAGCTCTCAGCGAAGTTAGGGTTAGGGTTTAGGGTTTAGGGTTTAGGGTTTAGGGTTTAGGGTTAGGGTTTAGGGTTTATGGTTAAGGGTCACTGCTCCGGTGGGGAAAATGCGGGCATACTATAGGGGCCTTGCGGCCTTACCTGTAACTCCCTTTACCTACAGTTTAGCAGCCATTGCCTCTTAATTCGTAGGTAGAATCCATAACAATGTAGGTAATTAGAGTCCCAAGTAATAATTAGAAAAGGTTTTTGGGGTCTATTACACTAAAATCATAGTAAAGAACCCCGAAATGGTTTTGCTGTTAAGTCAGCCAAAGAAGCCCAGTTACCGCTCCACCAGTTTCAGGCCTGCTGTGAGTCTTCTGTTTGCTGCGTTTGCCCGTGGACGGGGCTCCATGCAGCTAGCTTGGCTCCCGAAGCAGAACAGAACAGAACCGATGCGGTATACAGCGCAGCTCAATTTTTCTGGTTCCTCTGACAGACGGTTGAGCTTCGAGGGCACCTTCGCATGGTTGAGGGTGTTGGTGGCTTGGGGTTTCAAGCCGTTCCGAGAGACCTAGGAACACTCCGCATATCGTAGCAATAGGACTCGTCAACAACATGGAGAAGACTCATCAACGGGACCGTAAAGAGGGAACGTGATTGCATGGGTGTTTGGAGTGCATAGGCCACGGATGACATAGCAAACCTATATACACTTGACTGTCAACCAACCTCCAAGATGGGCTTTCCAGGCTGACAGTGCTTTGGATTTCGAGTGTGGAGCACGGTTTAGGGTTTAGGGTTTATAGCCCAGAGACTCCAATACCCCTTAATTAAGGAATATGCCTTAAATTATAATAGGATCCCCAATATGATTTAAAGTATATTCCTTAATTAAGGGGTATTGGAGTCTCTGGGTTTAGGGTTTAGGGTTTAGGGTTTAGGGCATTTTTCCGAGGTCAGCTGCAGCACTGCCATCAGTGCCTGCGAGCGGGCGTCGCACTGGCAAATGGGCTTGCATCTCTTCCAGGCTCAACCGCCCAGAGAACCCAATACCCCTTAATTAAGGAATATACCTTGAATTTAGCGGCCTTAATACTAGGATTTAAAGTATATTCTTTAATTATGGGGTATTGGTTCTCTGGGCGGGTAGCCACTGTCCTTGTCCTAGTGGGCACGGATCACCGGTGTTGGTGGTGCTCGAGTACTTGTACCAGTCGCTGGCAGAGTGACGTCGTCGTGCTTGTCGGGTCGGGAGTACTTGTAAGTAGTGGTTGCAGCAGAGGTGATAGAGCTGGTAACTAGTAGCCGCAGGTAGCAGGCTTGCTGGTAGCGGTCAATAATATACAACAGAAGGAGCAGTAGTTGGGGTATCAGCAGCAGATATCAGCAGCAACATTAGGACCATTAGGAGGCTATTGTTTTTGCGGTGGCTGCATCCTTAAACACCAAAGGACCTCGACTTTTAGGGTTGCTGATGATGATGATGATGATGATTTCTTTAAAGAAGGTCGTCAAGGTAGGTTTTTTGGGGAAAATGTAAACCCTGAACCGCACAACTCGAAAGCCGGGAAAAGTCCATTAGCCAAGCAGCAGTCATGCCTCATAAAGCGCCTGAAGAATCCTGAGTCCCGAAATCCTAGGGTTTGGAGTTTAGGGAAGCTGTTTAGGCTGTTTTGGATTTATATAGGGTGATAATATAGGGGCATTAAGAACTAGAATAGGGTTTGGGCTATATTGTACTACAATTATACTAAGGAACCCCAAAACCCTGTTCTGTTTATGGGTTTCATGGCCGCCACCGGTCCTTGCTTCACGAAGGCGATGGCCGATGATCGCGTGCACCAGAATTTAATCAGCGGCTTCTTCGCATCAATCTCTAAAAGCCCAAAAACTGGTATAAGCCCCCGATAGTGCTCACGCGCTGTCTGTTTGTCTGTCTGTCTGTCTGCCTGCCTGTCTGTCTGTCTGTATGTATGTATGTATGTATGGGTGTATGTAAGTATGTATGTATGTATGCATGTATGTATGTATGTACGTATGTATTCGTGTATTCATGTATGTATGTATGTATGTATGTATGTATGTATGTATGTACCTATGAATGTGTAATGTATATGTTCGAAGGTATGTATATGTGTGTGTGTGTGTGCATGTGCGTGCGTGTGTGTACGTGTGTTTGCGCGCAGGTTTGTCAGTCTGTGTGTGCGTGTGCCTGTCTATTGGCCTGTCTGTCTGTCTGTCTGTCTGTCTGTCTGTCTGTCTGTCTGTCTGTCTGTCTGCATGTATGTTTGGATGTGCTTGTTTGCATACATTCGCACAGGATAAAGTTATAGTACAACATTCGGTGGGTGGTACGTCATATGATATTACAGACTTAGAAAAACGCAGACTTCATAGTATGTCAGTATATCTCATGTGTCATCTGTATAGCATGCCATAGTCATAGTTTTAGTATGCTATTCCGAAGAGTATTAACAAGATCACGTGTACAGTCCTTGCCTGTATATCCATGTATGCACTTGTCCACACACGCTATGACTGAAGATGTGCATCCACCTGTGCGTATTTCGCTTGTTTCATTCCTTCTGTCCTGCTTCTGTCTCTCGGTACCCTATGCCCAAAGCTAAACTTTAAACTTTATAGGCCCTGAACCTTATTTGCCCTAAACCCTTTACCCAAGGGGTCCTAAGTACCTATATGGTAGAGTGTAGGGTTTCTATATTAGGAATTACTATTGTGATTAGGGGAAGTATCCCCCATAGCAGTACCTAGGACCCTTTTGGCTAGGCCCTTAACCCTACACTCTTGGTTCGAGGTTACAGCGTGGCCATCGCGGCCTGCGCTCGTGGAGGCCGCTGGCGCCAAGTGCAGCAGCCGAGATGCACTTGATTTTAGTTTGGGTTAGATTTAGGGTTTACCTGGAACCCCGAAA